TCAGGGGCTCTGAGGACAGGTGTCAATCCATATGTCAAGGTGTCAACATGTCATATGTCAGGTGTCAATCCATATTGATTGTGATTTAGGAATGTTAGGTGATTTCTGCCCTTTATGGATTAAAACCAGACTCTGTATCAACTGTGTAATTTTCCATGGGAGTTTTGCCATGGATCCCCCTCCGGCATGCCACAGTCCAGGTGTTAGTCCCCTTGAAACAACTTTTCCATCCCTATTGTGGCCAGAAAGAGTCCCTGTGTGTTTTAAAATTCGCCTCCCCATTGAAGTCAATGGCGTTTCGGGCGGTTCGCCGGTTCGCGAACATTTGCGGAAGTTCGCGTTCGCCGTTCGCGAACCGAAAATTTCGGGTTCGCGACATCACTATCTATATGACTCCAATAATCTTTCATAAAAGGCACTAGGTAACTCATCAACCTTTTGCAACAACTCAACCGTCTTTGACATATTGATTGCCTTCTTCCCTCCTGCCTTCATGCCAGCAATAATGGCTTCCCGATAAGCCCTTAATTGGGGCATGTCAGCATCATTCACATTCCAATTTGGGTCAACATTTGGATAATGGGCTGCAGCTCATGCAGCTGGATTGGCCTGATTTTGAGTATGGGCCGTTTCCTCAAGCGCTTTAATAGCCGCTTGATTAATCCGGGTCCTTTCCTCACAATTAAATAAAGTTAATAATAATTGCTGGCAGTCGGCTCAGGTGGGATTGTGAGTTTGTATAATAGAGGTAACCAAATCTGTCATGACTTGAGGTTTGTCGGTATACGAAGAGTTATGAGTCTTCCAATTACATAGATCAGTTGTGGTGAAGGGGACATAGACAAACACTGGATCTGCCCATTGTATTTGGCCATTTTCATCAACGTGTGTTGGGCCCAGTGTAAGTCGGAGGGGCATTTGGTAATGTCGGGGTTGAAGGGTACCAGTCATCTGTCGGGTTAATATAGGACTTCGGCGAGGCTGTTTTATAGTAAGTTCCGGTCTAGGGGTAGTAAGGTAAGGAGAATGAGGAGGGTTAATTTTACTGGGCGGAAGTTCAGTCAACAGGATGTTGTGGGCCGGGCTGGGAGAAGCCTGACCAGGAACCAGAAGTGACGTTAATTCTGGATATATAGAACTAGTGATGTTAGGTACCAGAAGGGGAGGACTCAGGGCAAGTGGGCTGGGCTCTAAACTAGATGAATGATTGGGCAGGGACAATGGGAAAGGGGGAGTGGCAACACCAGCAGCACCTCCTCTAACCTTAGAGGAGGAGTAAGGGGGTGGGAAGGGAAGTTCAGGGAGAGTCTAAAATGGGCGGGGTTGCGGCCCTGATGGACAGGCGAGTCCTGCCCACCATGAGGCGACATTGCTCCTCGTGGCATACCTTAATCCATTTAGGCAATTCTTCCACAATCTGTTTCCATCAATCAATATACGGAAACTGATCATAGAATTCAGGCCTACTAGATACAACCGCGTGCACACGTTGCACTAGAGTTAGATCAAGACTACCACATGGAGGCCATGCGGTCACCAAGATAGGCCACTCTCTACTACATAATGTAGTCAAACGCTTTGGGGATAATTTCACCCCAAAATCACAAACTTTATATCCCTTTGCAAAGTTTTTCAACATACACGACAAGGGATCAACAATCTTTGAGTCAGACGCACCCATACTGGCAACGGAGCGTCTAATACAAAGAAACACAATACCCCAAACACACTTCCAATGATCACACTTGTTTCCCTGGCAACAGCACCATGTGGCACAGTTTCTAGGCCAAACACACACATGAAAACACGCAGAGAATTCTCGTACATACGGTGATATCACGACGTCTAACTCACAAAGATTTACCAAACACTAGATACTTATCTCTGTAACTATAAATCAAACCCTACAATTATCCACATTATAAATCAACTTTTAACTAACCGACTATATCACATTCTAGTAACCTCATCTTTACAATCAGTGGTTATGGTACGGTTAGCAAGTGGTTATAATACAGTTTTAAAGTCACAAATCAGTTAGTAACAGTTATGGTGTGACAACAGTTTTTAGTAATTTTTACACAACGTCAGTAGTTATAGTACATGTTAATGGTTATAATACCGTGCGCTATTATACAGTATACACACAATTTACACTCCCACTAGACGGCAGAGCTCAAGCTTTCTAGCAGGACATACGATTCACCAACTACAGTATATTTAACAACATTTAAAATAATCCCAACTATTCTAATTGGCCAGCACCTTGAGAACTATCGAACTATTTACACCAGGATTCGGTTAGTCTATGCTGCCCAAGCACCACATATAGCGAAGTAGTGGGCGGAATTTACAACAGTACCCATTTATTCTATCTACTCTATCAATAGTCTAGTGGCTGAATTTACAACCGTGCACACTTAGCCAAGATAGGTTGAGAACTAGCAGACGGAATGTACACCAAAATCTGCTTAGTCTCGCCGGCCTCCCTGACCTAGAGACCGAAATTTACACCTAGACACGCTTAGTCAAGACAGGACACCGGTGTCCGGCATAAACTATTTACACCAAGATTTAGCCTGACCCAAACCACCTATATTAGAAGGGCTGACTACAGAGCATCTAATTTCCAGATAAGCGGTGTGCCTTCGCTTCTTCCCTCCAGAGGGAGGGGGCAATCCAATAACTGGTTCCAAATATAAAACCCCTTGTGGGCCTACCGCTCTAACGGTATCAGTCTTACCTCTTCGTTCCTAAGCCTGAGCTCACACTCATCGACGGGGCACCCCGGTACTTACTACGTAAAGGCCAATGATCTCCTGGGCGAAGCAGCTCAGTGGCGCCGAGATGAAGGGATGTCCATGCAGAAGTTCAGGGGTGCTGCCATAGAGAACATTGGTAAAAAGGTTTACCGTCTCAAATCTCTGCTCCAGCTTCCGTGCGATGAGGTTCCCGGACCCAATGCACCAAAGATGTAACCGAGTAAACTTGCAGAAGCCAGACACAGAGAGATGGATGCAGGTTTTCAGGAAGTAAGAGGTCTTTATTAACATACCGATTGGGCCTCAGATGAACTAATGTTCCAAAACAGGTCTGAGGGGCGAACACATGGAGTACATGCTTTTTATAGAACTATAACTCCTCCCATTAATAGCTGCACCCGCACATACCCTTAACCAATTAGTGGACAGGATTTGGATTTCCTCATATGGGCATCCCTATCAAATTCCAGCTGTTAATAAAATTCTTACTACTTTGGCAAAATGAAAAGTATTTGCCAAGTTGGATATGGCTCAAGCCTACCAGCAGTTACCTGTGGATGATGAGGCTGCTGATGCACAAACGATAATAACACACAAAGGAGCTTTCTGAGCAAGAAATTTTCTTGATGCTGGTCTAAAACTTAAAAAAGAAAAGTGTGTTTTTGGTGTAAGCAGCTTGGTTACCGAGGTTACCGAGTTGACGCACAGGGCATTCATCCAACTGATTCTAAGGTTGAAGTTATCCATAGAGCTCCGAAACAAAGGAGAAAGGAGTGTAATTTCAGTTCCTGCATTCCTGCACATGCTCAGTACATTGATGATAGTATCTTAGCTACGTGTAACTAACTAACTGATACAACATACACATATGCCATGTGGAAATCTCGGCCTACTAAATTTACATTTCACCGAAATTCCATCACAATTTAGCACCCACCCCATCTGAAATAGTGAGTTATTTCCATTTCAATAGAAGGAATCAGAAACCAGGTGAAAGCATTGCAGCATACATTGCAGAACTGCGCAGGCTCTCTGAAAATTGCAATTTTGGTACCAGTTTAGAATCCTTGTTAAGGGACAGGCTTGTGTGTGGGGTGCAAGATGAAGCACTGCAGAGGAGACTGCTTGCAAGACAGAATTTAACTTATTATTGCACAAGAGGAAGCGCTTGCAAATGAGGCTGCATATGTCCATTCAAAAGAGATACAATCCTCCTCCAGCAAAGAGAACTCACCTGAAATAAATCTAGTGAAGAAAACTGATGTTAAATCAAAAGACTTTTCACCACGCACTGATGTCACAGCTCCATTTAAAGGAACGTGTTATAGTTGCGGTGGAAAACACAGGCGTAATACATGTCGTTTTCGAAATGCAGTTTGCCACACATGTAAACATACAGGTCACATCCAGACAGTTTGCCAAAGTCAAGCCAGTGGAATTCAGACCAAATATAAGAATGTGAATAAAATACAAACCACAGCGCACTCTTAATACTCCACATACTGTTTCAGATAATGAAATGACTGCAGGTGTTTACTCAAATGACTATGTGAATAAAGTGGAAAATTCGCCATCAGGACTGACAAATTAACACCGAAATTGTGCTGCAAGATGCTCCGTGCAAAATGGAAGCAGATTCTGGGTGCGCATATTCTTTGATTTCAGAAGAGACATTTACATTGTTATGGCCTCATAATTCTCCTTCAATAGTACATTGTGATATTCATCTCGTGGACTACAACAAACAGGCTCTGGATGTTAAAGGGGCTTGTTTTATACCAGTAAAATAAGGTCAATTCAGAGGACACTTACGTTTAATAATTACTATGGGACAAAGAGCAAGTTTGCTAGGTAGAGAGTGGTTTGAACCCAGAGGAATGTCATTAACTGGAGTTAACGTATCCACAGATATTCTACAGAATGTGATTGATAAATTTAGGACAGTTTTTGAAGAAGGTCTTGGCATGTTTAACCCCTTAAGGACCAAACTTCTGGAATAAAAGGGAATCATGACATGTCACACATGTCATGTGTCCTTAAGGGGTTAAAGGCCCTCCTGTTTCTTTTGTATTAGATTCAACAGTATCCCCAATTCGTATGAAGCCTCGCAAAATTGCATTAGCTCTCAGACCAAAAATAGATGCTGAGATTACACGTCTTGTAACACACCCAAAGTGGTGTATACCCATAGTTCCGGTCATGAAACCAAATGGGGATGTCAGAATCTGTGCTGACTACAAATGTACAATCAACAAAGCATTGCAAGAGCATCCCTATCAAATTCCAGCTGTTAATCAAATTCTTACTACTTTGGCAAAAGGAAAAGTATTTGCCAAGTTGGATATGGCTCAAGCCTACCAGCAGTTACCTGTGGATGATGAGGCTGCTGATGCACAAACGATAATAACACACAAAGGAGCTTTCCGAGCAAGACTTTTGCAGTTTGGAGTTACCATTGCTCCTGGCATATTCCAGAATTTGCTGCTAAAAAAACTGTTGTCTTCTGACAGTTTGCTTGTACACTATGATTTGGAGAAATCGCTCAACCTCACCTGCGATGCTTCTCCGTATGGCATAGGCGCTGTATTGAGCCACACTTTGAGAAATGGGGTTGAGGCTCCTATTGCATTTTATTCACGGACTTTATCTACTACAGAGAGGAATTACGCCCAAATTGACAAGGAGGCTTTAGCTATTGTGTCCGGTGTAAAAAAGTTTCTTGACTATTTGTATGGGCGGAGGTTTACTATTTTAGCAGATCATAAACCTTTACTGGGTCTGCTCACCAGCAATACTCCCACTCCTCAAATAATTTCACCACACATGCTCAGGTGGTCCCTTATGCTGAATGCCTATGATTGTGAGTTCAAGTATCGTCCTGGCAAGGATATCACACATGCTGATGGATTAAGCCAATTACCTTTGCCTTCTCCTGACTTCCTTGTTCCTCCTATGTCTGAGGTCCTCATATGTTGGAATCCATTCCAAACCCTCCGTTACATGCAAGTGACATTACTTGTATGTCTGCCAAGGATGCTTTGCTGTCCCGTGTGCTCAATTGGGTTTGGAGGGGGTGTGTCACAGGTGGCGGTCCGGTATAAAAAGATAAATGGTACGATAAAAGATTACCAAATATACTTTAATATTTAAAATTACACAATATAAAAACCATAAACGCGTTTCGCCAGTCGGCGTTATCAATATGGGTAAAGAACCTGATAACTGGCAGTGGAATCTTTAAATAACATGTACAGACATTCAAAAATTGGCACCAAAATTTGGACAGCCAATCAGGATACAAATAAAAAATGCATTTGATAAAACAGGGTTAAAACAAATTAAGTGTAATACATATGTAACAAGGTAAGAATAACTATTACAAAGATATAATGTGTGATTAAAAATGAACAGTATGATAGTAAAATAGATTTTGTGATGCACGGTCACATGAACGGCATCGTAGCTGAGGGGGGTGATGGGACATGTAGTATGACGCCGGCAGGCACTGCGCAGCCGCCGGCGTCATGAAGGAGGGCGGGCAACTGGCGTCAGCACGCATGAGAGGTGCGGCTGACGCCAGTGGGCGTAGGGATCGGCGTCAGCTCGCACGTGATGCGGCTGACGTTGGGAAAAGGGGGCGGACATACTGATGACGGCGGCACGCACGAGGCTGCGGCCGTCGTCATCAGGAAGGGAAATGAAGATAGACGACGGCTAACACGAAGCTGTAGCCGTCGTCATGGAAATAGAGTAAACAAGTTGGCAAGCTGCAGCCGACTGGGGAGGGGAGAGTGAAGGAAATAAAATCAGCACCATGCCTGGTCCACTAAATAGTGAGAGCAGGCATGGTGGCTGGAGACCTAATAAAAATATTGATTAAAAAATTTAATATGTAAAGTAAAAAAATTGAAGTTAAAATTAAAATAAAAGCATATTAATAAAATATATTAAAAAAGTAAGAACATATTTATAAAAAATTAAACAAATCAAAATCAACATTTAAACCATAAGGTGCAAGAGTTTCACAGAGCGCTCAGGCGGCTGCAGTATTTAAAGGGCCGGCCCCAGGTGCCGACGGCCCACCGGGAAATTTCCCGGTATCCCGGTGGGCCAGTCCGGCCCTGTATGTGTCACACTGAGGGGAGGAGATGTGTGGGAGGTAACTGTTACATTATTGGCTACTGGACTAATTATGGTGAATCCCTCCCTTGCATGGGAGAATGCTTTAAAAGGAGGTTGTGTGGATTAAAAGTTAGTTCTGCTCCTGATGCTGTGTGTCGTCCAGTCATTGGGATCCGATTGGGATATTTGTGGATTACCTTGCTTGCTGTGATTATTACTCTATGGTATTTTTATTAACTGTTCCTGAGCCTCACTGGGATCTTTAGTGGAGTTAACCTGTGAAAGACCAGCTCTCCGCTACATGCATAACTTTGCATTTCTCTCCATTAAAGGGACACTATAGTCACCAGAACAACTACAACTTATTGAATTTGTTCTGGTGACTAGAATCATTACCTTCAGGCTCTTTGCTGTAAACACTATCTTTTCAGAGAAAATGCAGTGTTTACATTACAGCCTAGTGATAACTTCACTGGCCACTCCTTGGATGGCTGTTAGAGATCATTCCTGGGTCATGGCTTCCTAAAATGCAGCCAAAAATTCAGTGTCTCCACCCTCTGCATGCAGACGCTGAACTTTCCTCATAGAGATTCATTGATTCAATTCATCTCTATGAGGAGATGCTGATTGGTCACGGCTGTGCTTGAATTGTACTGTCTCTCACCCTGATCTGCCTCTTTGTCAGTCTCAGCCAATCCTAATGGAAAGCATTATGATTGGATCCGGCTACCACTTCTGCTGATGTCAGGAAACAGGCACAAATCATGCAGCTTCAGACTTGAATACAAGTAAGATTTACTATAATTAGGGAAGCATGAGGGGACCAGGGTGGCTTGATGGTGGTTTTAACCCTATAGGGTCAAGAATACATGTTTGTGTTCCTGACCCTATAGTGCTCCTTTAAATTTCATCTGCCATTTTAGTGCCCAGTCCCCCAATCTATCTAAATCCCTCTGCAGCAAAGCAATATCCTGCTCACATTTTATTAATTTACAAAGTTTTGTGTCATCTGCAAACACTGATATGTGGCTTTCAATGCCTATTTCAAGATCATTTATAAATATGTTAAATAGAAGCAGTTCCAAAACAGAACCCTGAGGGACACCACTTACCACTTTTGTCCAGCCTGAAAATTTACCATTAATGACAACTTGTTGTACTCTACCCTTAAGCCAATGTTCTACCCAAGAACAAGAATATTCATCTAGACCAATTTCTTCTAGTTTGAAGACTAACCTATTGTGAGGAACCATATCAAATGCCTTGGCAAAATCCAAGTAGATCACATCCACTGCAACACCCTGATCTATACTTCTACTTACTTTTTGGTAGAATGCAATTACGTTAGATTGACATGACCTATGTTTCATAAAACCATGCTGATTATTGCTAAGAACAATTATCCCTTAATAGCCTTTCAAATAGTTTTCCAGTCACAGAAGTTAAGCTCACAGATCTATCATTTCCAGGCAAGAATTTTGAACCCTTTTTAAATATAGCAACGACATCTGCCTTCCTCCAATCCTCTGGCACAATACCTGAAACAAAAGAATCTTGAAAATTAAATGCAGAGGTTCACTTATTTCCCCACTTAGCTCCTTAAGTACTATTGGGTGAATACCGTCAGGCCCCGGTGCTTTATTTGCATTAATTTTCTTTAATTGCTGTAGCACCTTGTCTCAAGTCATACAATCACAAGTTCTCTGCAAGTTTTTTGATATGCAATCATTTGCATATCTCTTGCCATAGGATCCTCATTAATATATACTGAAGAAAACTAGTTATTTAAAATTTCTGCCTTTTCCCGGCCTTCATTAGCTAATTGATCCATCTCTGTTTCCAGTGTACATACACTTTAAATTTTTTTTTTTTTTTTTAGAATTGATGTACTTGAAAAAAAATTTAGGGTTGGTTTTGCATTCTTTGGCTATCAATTTCTCATTTTCAATTATTTTATTACCTATAATTGAATATCCATCCCATAAGAAATAAAAGAAATGTGCTTTGCCTGCTCACTCACATTTTCTATAAAAATGGCACATATATTGCCAATTCTCCAAGGGTATGCAAAATTCTGAGCACAACTATATATGTTCTTCACAGTCTAACAGGGAGTGCTCACTGGAAGCAACAAACTGCTTCCTGTTAGACTGGGTAGAAGATACAGAAGACCAGTGGTGAGTGGATTTAGCCAGCCAATTGAAGCATCCATGTGGATTACCATGGCAACGCTCTGACACTTCAAATGCCAGAGCTTGCAAGATCACTATCGCATGGTCTGCAGCTCTGCACCTGGTGGAACTGCAGACCAAATGGCTAGCCCACCAGAAAACATCCCTCTATCCCCCCTCCCCCCAACAATGTCACCATCCCCACACACTGTTGCCATCTCCACACACACGAGGTAGAGAGATGACACAGAGACAGGGACGTATTAGCTGCGAGGCAAACAAGGCATTTGCCTTGGGCGGCATTTTTCAGGGGGCGGCAAAAAACCGCCCCCAAATGCCCTGGGAAAATGCCTAGTTAGCCTTGTAGCGGGCGGGCGGCTGGCGAGGCGGGCGGCTGGCGAGGGAGTATTTCTCCTGAGCGGTCTGCTCAGCTCCCATGCGCAACGCAGAGTGAGGCTGGGAGCCGGAATATGACGTCATATTCCGGCTCCCAGCCTCACTCTGAGGCGCGTGAGGGAGCTGAGCAGACCGCTCAGGGGAAGTGCTCCCTCGCCAGCCGCCCGCCCGCCCAGCAGCCACTGGACCCCCACGGGGAGAGGGAACCCCCCTACTCCCCCAGCATTCCCAAAGGTAAGGAGGCTGGGGGGGGTTAAATTTAAAAAAAAATGTGTGTCTGTTAGTGAGTGTGTGTTTGCCTGTGAGTGTGTGTGTCTGTCTGCTAGTGAATGAGTGTCTGTTAGTGTGTGTGTCTGACTGTGTGTGTCTGACTCTGTGTCTGTTAGTGTGAGTGTGTTTGCCTGTGAGTGTGTCTGTGTTTCTGTTAGCTAGTGCATGCGTATCTGTGAATGTGTGCGTATTTAGAAGCCTGGGTGGGGGCACCTGGGTTTTGTCCTGCCTAGGGCAGCACAAAACCAGGATACACCACTGCACAGAGAGGATGGTGGTAGAGAGTTGGCAATGGTGGGTTGTTTGGGGGCAAAGATGGCAATGGCAGACTTTTTGAAGGCTTATATGGCTCATTTGCAAGATATATACATTTTATGAATGTATTGCTCATGAGATATAGGGTTTATGCATTTACTGCTCATTGACATGATATGCTAAGTTTATGCATTTACATTGGCATCATATATCTAGGTTTTGTATTTATTGCTC